AAGGTGCTTGAGGTCTCCTCTCTTTCTCTCTCTTTCTCTGACTATCTACCCACCTACCAACCTATCTTCTATGTATCTATCTATCTATCGATCGATCTATCTATCTATCCCTCTATCTATCTACCTCTCTATCTATCTGTCTGTCTGTCTGTCTGTCTGTCTATCTGTCTATCTATCTATCTATCTATCTATTTATCTAGCTGTCTCTATCTATTTGCCTATCTGTCTATCTGTCTATCTGTCTATCTGTCCACCTATCTATCTATCTATCTATCTATCTATCTATCTAATTATCTTTCTATCTATCTATCTATCTGTCTGTCTATCTATCTATCTATCTATCTATTTATCTGTCTATCTATCTATCTATCTATCTATCTCTCTATTTATCTAGCTGTCTCTATCTATTTGCCTATCTGTCTATCTGTCCATCTATCTATCTATCTATCTATCTATCTATCTAATTATCTTTCTATCTATCTATCTATCTATTTATCTGTCTATCTATCTGTCTAGCCATCTATCTATCTCTCTATCTAACTATCTATCTATCTTTCTATCTATCTATCTACCTATCTATCTATCTATCTTATCTTCAGTGTGCATTTTCCTTGCTTTTGAGTCTGTGTGGGGCTTACGAACTCACAAGACTAATTATATAGTAGAATTTTGACAGCCAATTCTCGGCTTGAGACCCCAAAACCTAGATGTCAAGTCCCGTTGGCTCCCAGCAGTGGGGTGCCTCGTATGCTTCGCGAACTTTCTGAAAGTTCCCTTCTGCACCAGATGCCTAGACTCAGCAACAATTGACATGAGAACGTATGAGAATGTATGCCAGCTTGTATTCCAGTGGCAGGCTCACGCGCGCGCCAAATTATGCATGAATTCATATAGCCACAAACTAGACAGTTGAAAGTCGCAGCAGTGGGGGCCAACAGAACCTTCTAGCTAGGCACGAACCCAAATTGACAATTGCAGCAAAGTAGAGCTGCCTTTCTGCAGCCAGTGCGAAACTATGCAGAAGGGCCTTGCTATAGCTGCACTAAATTTCACTAATCTTCACTGGATATTTCAGACTTTGGTCCCCTGTTTGTTCAAAGGTCTACAATAGACTCAATTTTGGCCAACAGTGGCAATTTTGCTCGCAGGACCTGTCATTGCCAAAGACGTTCCCATTCATCTCGCAGACTCTTGCCAAAATGGCCATCATGTCTGTGCGCATGTACGTGAACGAGCACCTTGTTCACATCTGGGTGAAGTTGTTTGGCGAGACGCAAGTACCTTAGCAACTTACCGAGATCAAACGACAAGTCTCACTTGCCAATCTGGAAGGATAAACATGCTTTTCCTGCTGCCTTTCCTCCGTATTTACTTTACTTCGAGTGATCCACCCTGCCACTGATTTGTCATAGTTTCTGACATGTCTTCTGGAAATATATATGGTATAATCTTCTGAAATTCTATTCTGGCATTCTATCTGGCATTCTATCTGACATTCTATCCTGGCATTCTATCTAGCATCTATTCTGACATCCTATCTGGCATCCTTTGTGGCATCTATACTGACATCCTATCTGGTATTCTACCTGGCATTCTATCTGACATTCTATTCGGGCATTTTATCTGGCATCTATTCTGACATTCTTTTTTGGCATTCTATCTGGTATATCTTCGGAGATTCTTTGTGGTTGAGGTCCGGCAGGGACCACTTTGATCTAGTGCTTGCAGTTGAGGTCCGGCGGGGATCACTCTGCTCATGAGCTTGCTGTTCGGGTCCGGCGGGGAACACTGTGATCTGCCGCTTGCAGTTGAGGTCCGCCAGGGAACACTCTGCTCCTGAGCCTGCTGTTGGGGTCCGGCGGGGAACACTGGGATCTGCCACTTGCAGTTGAGGTCCTTGCAGTTGAGGTCCGGCAGGGAACACTCTGCTCCTGAGCTTGCTGTTCGGGTCCGGCGGGGAACGCTGCGATCTGCTGCTTGCAGTTGAAGTCCTCCGGCAGGGAACACTGTGAACTAGAGGTCCGGCAGGGAACACTCTGCTCCTGAGCTTGCTGTTCGGGTCCGGCGGGAAACACTGCGGTCTAGCGCTTGCAGTGGAGGTCCGGCGCGGATCACTCTGCTCCTGAGCTTGCTGTTCGGGTCCGGCCATAAAATCTATCAACCTTCACAGGTGGGGAAAGACTCAATGACAACATACCTGCGGCGGAAGTTTCAAAAATCGGAAACCTATAGGAGAGGCTGGTCGTTGTGAATCACGGATGGCAGAGCGAATCCACTGATTGACCGAAAGGTAGTTGAGGTCTCCTCTCTTTCTCTCTTTCTCTCTCTTTCTCTGACGATCTACCTATCTTTCTATCTATCTATCTATTTATCTATCTCTCTCTCTATCTATCTCTCTATCTCTCTATCTCTCTATCTCTCTATCTCTCTATCTCTCTATCTCTCTATCTATCTATCTATCTATCTATCTATCTATCTCTCTCTCTCTATCTATCTCTCTATCTATCTATCTATCTCTCTATCTATCTCTCTATCTATCTCTCTATCTATCTATCTCTCTCTCTCTCTATCTATCTATCTTTCTTTCTATCTATCTATCTGTCTATCTATCTATCTGACTATCGATCTATCTATCTATCTATCTCTCTCTCTATTTATCTATCTATCTATCTATCTATCTATCTCTCTCTCTCTATCTATCTATCTGTCTATCTATCTTTCTATCTATCTATCTATCTTTCTTTCTCTCTATCCATCTATCTAATCTAATCTAATCGAATCGAATCTAATCTAATCTACTCTCGTCTAATCAATCTATCTATCTATCTATCTATCTATCTAATTATCTTTCTATCTATCTATCTATCTATCTCTCTCTCTATCTATCTATCTATCTATCTATCTATCTATCTCTCTCTCTCTATCTATCTATCTCTCTGTCTCTATCTATCTATCTATCTATCTATTTATCTATCTATCTATCTATCTATCTCTCTCTATCTATGTATCTATCTATCTTTCTTTCTTTCTTTCTATCTATCTATCTATCATTATCTATCTATCTATCTATCTATCTATCTATCTATCTATCTATCATTATCTATCTATCTTTCTTTCTTTCTTTCTATCTATCTATTTATCTGCAAGCTTGAAAACGAAGCTATTCTGCGAGACTTCCTCAATTTTTGAACTTGACAATGTCAAAAACGAAACAAGTCTGCGAGACTTCCTCAATTCTTGAACTTGACAACATCAAAAACGACACAATTCTGCGAGACTTCCTCATTTTTCGACGTTGACAACATCAAAAACGAAGCAATTCTGCGAGACGTCCTTCAAAAATGGAAAGTTGAGTGCAGAGCTGACAGCCTCGTACCAATGCGTTTTGCGATTTGTCCACTCCACCTGTCTAAAGTATTGCGCCCGCCACGAAAAAGTGAGGCCAGGTCATGCGAAGTGCTGCACCTGTCACGCAAAATCATCTCAGCAAACCTGAAGATCTGATGCTCCAAAATGCAACCCCTCTCAGGAAATCAGCGGCCTGACCTCCTAACATCTCTGATCAACATGTCTCCTGTACTGCGCCTGCCACGGAAAATCCATCTTTGCAGATCCTCTTCAATTGTCCCATGCCTGCCATCGTTTTTGGAAATGCTACAAAACCTTCACGTTTTGCTCACTTTTGAAAAGGTGCACAATCCCTTGCGCCTGCCACGCGAAAGCACATCTGAACGTCCAAAAGCGCTCCCTACCCGAAAAGTTGTTTGCACTTTTGACTTCGAAATGTGCTTCGCGCCACAACCGAGTGCACTTTTTCGACATCTCAACTTGCAAAAGTGCTCCGAACCTGTCAGTTTTTTACACTTTTGACTTCGAAATGTGCTTCGCGCCACAACGGCGTGCAATTTTTCATCTCTCATCTGCCCAGCGGGCTCCGCACCCGCCGCTTTAGCGAGCCTACTTTTCGACCCTCCGGAGCCACAAATCATTGGAAAAACACAGTGTTTCGTGACTTTCCTACCTTTTCGCGCACCTGCATCTTCTTTCTTCTTATACTTTCTCTTTTTTGATCTTCTTTCTTCTTCTCTTCTCTTCGCTGACTCTGCCCATCTCTGCTTTTCATCTGTCCATATTGTCGGAAGTTTGACTTCTAAACTTCCTTCGATGAGTATTGGAGCTCTGGCAAGCTAAATGTCAATTTCTGAATTCAAGTCACTTCAATCCAAAGGGTCCAAGTTTGCCTCACCACGACAAAACCCCAACGACTCGCTGACTTTTATATGGCAACTGCTGCCACCACCCCGCTACAGTACCCGGCGAGGTGCGCAAGACGAATGGTTCTTTTGGAAGCAGAGGGCGCGACCCCCAGGGCTTGATACAACGCACCTTGGTGCATTGTTTGGCAGTGCTGAGTGCTGAGTGCTGACGGTCCAAACAATTGCTACAACCTGAGACTTCCAACCATTCGTTTCAAGTGTTTCAAGCAAACATCGTGCAATCGCTCCAAGGCAGAACGCCCATGTTATGAAACTCATACAGGCCAAGGCGGCCAAGGCGGCCAAGGCGGCCTTGACATGCCTTCCTCTTTAGTCCACCGCGATCGAACTTCAATCATACTCGTTCATTTTTTTCAAAGAAAGAGTATGGCATCTTATGACCTTGACCTTTTGGCATCTTTGACTATGCGAACAAGCGTTGCTTGCGGCTGGCTCTAAAAGACCGCAGAGCATCGCAAGTTTAATTTCGAAAGGCCGAGAAAAAAGAAAGGTGGTTTATCACATGGTTCCTGGTTCTAAGCTCGTGTAAAAGACCTGAACTTCTAGACCCAAAAGAGGCGAAGCTTTGGGTGGCAGAGAAGCAAGATGAAGCAAGTAGCCAGTGCAAAGGAACGTTTACCTTTGTACAATTCCGGATCCAAGCAGAAAGAGTCAAAAACAACGTCGTAAGATTAACCCAGCTTTGCAACCCAACAGCAGTGAGGGTTCCAATGTCAGCAGCAAATGAGAAACAAGTGGGAAACAAATGGGATCAATGGAAGACAATTTGAAGACAGGTTGGCAAGAAGTGGGAGTCAACAACCGGGAGACAAGGATACAAGTTGGTAACAAGTCGGAAACAAGGAGACGGCTGAGGAGACGACAGGGGGACAAGGGGAGGCAAGGGGAGGCAACTGTGAAAGAAGAGAGAGAGAAGTTGGACAACTCGGAGCCATATGGGAGACAAGTGACCACAAGTGGAAGACAAGTAGAAAGCAAGGAGACAAGTGGGAAACACGGTTGCAATTCGGTTGCAAGGTTTCCGGAACCCAGCTGGAACCTGGGATCCCTGCAAAGTGGAGGAAAGTCGGGATCCCCGTCGCTTCTAGAGATGAAACCGAACAGTTTTTTGGCGTTCTGGTTTGCAAGGGTTCCAGTGTATCTCAATGCCTTCAATTTCGGCCTAAGAGAATATCGAAGAGATCGGGCGTAGCTTGGTGAAGAAGATCTAGACACGTGATGAATCATGATGAATCGTGGTGAATTGTGTAAGCAATGCCGGGGTGGCACTATTGCGAGAGCACGCCATCCATGGTGGAATGCAGCGAACACCGCGCAAAAGCCAGTGAGGATTATTAGTTCTGGAAATGAACATTGATGCGGTTTCCATGCATGATACGGCCTTATTTAAAGTCTGATGGAGCAATTGGGTCATATTTAAAGTCTGAGATTGCCCAAAAAGCTGACGGTCACACCGTCGCCATCTTGTGCGGTGGCATGCTGACGGAAGCGGTCACTTGTCAGTTTGATCGGTCTCCGGTTGTTCATGTTTGTAGTCTTTGCAAAGAACCCAAAGTCCCTAGCATCTTTCACGTGCTCTGGGAATGTAAGGCCTTTGAGGCCCTGCGAACAGTTGGTCCGCCGGACTGTCCGGTTATGCAACGACTTGGATGGAGTCATTCTGTAGGCTCTCTCACCATGATTCACCAGATGGCGCAGATTTGTGCACTTGAGTGTGACTATAGGGAAAAAACCCGCCACCGTGCTGGGGGCGGGGGGGGCCCCCCCCTGATGACTGAGGACTGAGCTCTTTGCGGCAGTCTGGCTGCTGGCCCGCGTAAGGCTGCAGCCTATCAATCTCCTCCCGGTCATAAGCACATGTCCCTTAAGTTTCAATAAGTTTCACCGCCAGTCGTGTACTACCTCCTCGAGGTGCTGGCGATCCATGCAGGTTCAGTCCACCTGTGTGGAACAAAGACCCAAGAAAAGAAGTAGCCATTTGGCTGCCAAGATGCCCTACAAAAACAATGAAAATGACTTGAGAGAGTGTGAAATGGGCCAGAGGAGAGGGCACTCCACCCGACCCCAACCCCTTTCTTACCCACTGCTCTTGCTGATGCTGTGCTTTTGCTTCTGCACTGCTGCCGGTCACCCCTCACATCCCCCTAAACGTTTTGGGAATTTTGGGGAGGATGACGTGAGTGACGGCAACTTGGCTGCATTTAATTACCTTTGCCCGTTGGGCACCCTGGGCGGTAGCAACCTGACAGTGGCGCTGACTAGCCATGGACTGCTGCCTTGCATGCGTTTGACTTCACTTGCAGCTGCGCTGAGCGGCAGCTGCGCGGAAGCTGTTGGTGTACCAACAGCTGTGCACGGCCAAGACTTTTGGCCACGGGCGGGAAGGCTGGAAAACACGGGCTGTAGGACCTGGTTTCAGTATTTCACCATCCAGTTTTTCATTTGGCTTTTGCATTCTGAATTTCGGAGATCTCGGTCTAAGAAAAGGAAGCATAAGAAACAGCAGAAACACTGCTCTGGTCTCAAACAACCTCAGCTGAAAAAACGTAGACTTGTAGGGGTCTGCAAAAAGGTTGATGGAAGACGATTTCGCGTCCTTAACCGTAGGTATAGGCACCTTGGACAACACAAACGCAGATTGTTGCTGACTAGTCTTAGAAGAGCCAGATGGGCTAGAACCCGTCACTCTCATCCACAGAGTCAGCCTAGCAAACACTTGAATAGATGCCCTCGGATCATTCAGTGGATTTGTGGCTATTTAGGTATACGTGTCGGCGAAGCCAGTCACCCAGGACCAGGTGACAAAAAACGCAAGGCCACCGGTGATGAAGCTTGGACACATGACGCTGACAGCAGTTTGGCTCAAGTCATTTTGCAGGTGCTCCAAACTCATCGAGGTCAAGCTGACATGGGATCTTCTGCTGCAGGTCCTCCTGCAAACAAGAAAGGCAAAGGAGGACCTGCGCCTGTTCCAAGTGGTGAGTCCCGACTTGCACGAATCCTGTTACAGACACTTCAGGCTGCAATTACACATAAATGGACAGACGAGATGGTCTTGTTAACAAGATCACTAGGCATGCCCCAGCTGGTAGCATCGAACCAGAAAAGAAGACACCAAATGACGCTGCTCCCAATCTCTCCAAGACTAAGAGGCTCTTGGGGGAAAAGCTGTTTGTGAAAGTTCAACCACTGACTCCGCAACATGCTGGCAAAGTCACTGGCATGCTTTTGGAAATGCCGGTCAATGCGATCAAAAGTCTCCTTGGCAGTGACACTGAATTGCAGGCTAAGGTCAAAGAAGCCGTAGCCACCTTGTCACCGCCGCAGCAAGCAACTTGGGCCGACAAAGTGAGGCCCAAACCACCACCCCAGGTCTCCAGCAAGGCCAAGGGCAAGGGCAAGCAGAAGGGCACAGGTCATGAGCCAGTGCGAGGTCCTCGATTTGCTGTGAAAATCAACCCTACTGAGTGGTCAGGTGAACCTAGCCTAACCACCTTGCCCAAACTTGAGCAGGCTCTGACGCAAGGAGAAGAGCCTTCAGGAAATTTGATCATTACTGCCGATCCGCAGATCGTTGCTCAGGCCAAAAATCTCTGGGCTGCCTTTGACTGCAAAACTCAGAAACTGACGATCGCAACAATCAACAACAAACTCTCTTCCTCCGCCAGCGTCTCTGTTTGGTGGAAGGAACCGGGAAAGAATGCGTCTGGACCTCCAAACAGGGTCCAGCTCCAACTCAGCCAAATTGGTACCAGCCCAGGCCCGGTTCCCATCACTGCTGTGGTCACCAATATTCCCAAACCCCAGGGTTCCAAGATGGTCACTGTTCGATTTCTTGCCCCGGCTTTTTATCGTAAACATGTCCCTGGTGTGTCCAAAGAAGATGACCCTGCCACGGTTATTGGGTGTTTAGCGTCCACTGTAGGGTGCCAAGCCTCATTGCTCACAGGTGGTCGGTGGGAAGTTGCCACCTACCCGCACGGTAGGATTCTTATAGGACACTTGAAAGTGACTGAGGAGCTTGCTCAGAGGCTGGCTAAAGTTTCTGGAACTCAGGCCCTTTTTGTTGCTGTCCTGAACCAAACGAATCAGAAAGAAGTCGCTTGGCTTCCGCGGGCCAAACAAGAAACTGAGGCCTACTTCCGTCAATCTCTCACTCGCGCTCAGGCTGCAAAAATGCCTTTAGTGCTCAGGCAGGGTGGGGGCAGCGACTTAGGCATAGTCGGAATGTCACAACGAGAGGTTTCGGCCAACTTGGTGAGAACGTGGGAGTTCCACGGCTGTCCACGTCATTGGACAAATCAGGAAGTGTCTGAATTTCTTGAAGCAAACAATTGGGCGCAAACTGAAGTGCTCAACAAAATCCGGAGAAGTGCTCAGCAGGTTTGGTTGTTTAAAGCCAAGGCAGCCCCTGCTCAGGAGAACCGTGAAAATGATTTTTGGTATTATACCAACCAGGATCAGACTTTGCATTTGACCATAGCCCCCATCAGGCCAAGGGCACGCAAAGTGGTTTCTGTTGAACAAGTCCCTGGGCTCCGAAAGCGTTGGTTTGACAAACCTGCAGTCGCCAAAGTAGCTGCCACCCAGCTGGATGATCTCACCATGGATGACCCGGCAACACAGCCGTCCGATAACAAGGAAAGGTCTCCTCGCCGTCAAAAAACTGGAAAAGTTCTCGACCCTGACAAAGTCTTTCTTGCTCAGAACCCTGATTGGGAATTCGTTGACAACGGAGGCGCAGGCGACTGCGCCTTCCAAAGTGCTGCTAGTATTGCCGTGTCCCAAGGGAAAACCTTGAACACTGAGGCTCGAACCCGTGAAGCCAGCCGCCTTAGGTTGCTTGCCACAGGCCACATGACTTCCAACAGAAGTTACTTTGAACCATTCTGGGCCCAAGATCCAGATGAAGAAGCGCAATTGCGCAATTTTCAAGATGTGCCTCAGGATTTTGCGGGCTATATTTTGGCCGCTAGCAATAGGGGCTATTACGCTGATGATTTGTTGCTTACGGCCTTAGCTGCTAGATTGGCCACTCCCATCATTGTGTTTGCCTGGAGTTCAGAAAGGAAGGTTTGGGAACGCACCGTGGTGGCGAATTGATTCATT